TGAGGGCTCAACTGAGCGAGGAGATCAGTAGCAAAATACTTGAAGTCGACTACAAACGGTTTAATATCACGAGCAGCACGATTGCCTTTGCATCGGAAAAACAATTTGGTTAAAGGTAGTGGAAGGGGCGGCTTACGCCTACACTTATAACATTACTTTGTTAAGTCTGTTACAGTCTAGTTACAGATATAGTAATACTGAAGCCTAATTAAAGCTATTTCTCACCTGTATTAATAAATACTATATAAGGATGAATGGTTTAATTTTTACCTTTCTATAACACTTAATCAGAATCAGCTAAAAAATTTCACATAAGCGTATTTGGAATAAAGAACTAGTGATTTCTCCAGACCTGGAGAAGTACTTAGCATGGAGCCAGAAACGTTATCACCAGGAGGAAAAGTCAACAGACATATCCTTACTAAAATATCGACCACACTGACTGAAGCTCCCTCCAAAGAAATTGTCAAGAGAAGAGAAAATATGGTTTTCCATGCTTCACTTGTGAGGTACTTTAGTTTTCCATGCTTCACTTGTGAGGTACTTTAGTTTTCCAAGCATCACTTGTGAGGTACTTTAGTTTTCCATGCTTCACTTGTGAGGTACTTTAGTTTTCCAAGCTTCACCTGTGAGGTACTTTAGTTTTCCATGCTTCACTTGTGAGGTACTTTAGTTTTCCATGATTCACTTATGAGGTACTTTAGTTTTCCATGCTTCACTTGTGAGGTACTTTAGTTTTCCATGCTTCACTTGTGAGGTACTTTAGTTTTCCATGATTCACTTGTGAGGTACTTAAGATAACAAAACAAAAAACGGGCATAATGTGTTAAGATTCTGCGACATTTTTCGTCATAAACAAATACCTCTATACTTATGTAGTGAATTTGTTTAGAATGGACCTAAAAACTAATGTTAAATTTAGAAGTTTCACTGTATCTTATTAATGAAAAGTAATTCAAGTGACCAGATATAATGGACATAACCCAAGCTTTAAAAATTTATATTGTACTATATACGACAGGAAGTTCAAAATAAAAGGTATTTTCTATTATGAAATATGGTTAAAGGTTAGGTTAAAAAATGGTCTAATGTATTATAAGACGCGTATTTAGGTAAACATTTACTTGGTGGTGATATCATTATTATTTCAGTGAGCCAATGAAAGGTTTATTTTATTTTTCAAAGTTTTAAAAAGTGACAGAAAACATTTACACACAATTATCTCAATGCAGGGAAAATAAAATAACTTATTTTTAGATGTTGAATACTGATATCATAGTTCGTCTGCATTGTTTTATTTTTGCTTTCTCTTTACTGAAATACTTATATTGTAGGCTTACAATACTGATTCCCTTTGAGACGATCTGTTATCATTAAGAACGTCAAAATTGGATTATAGAAAACACACTGCTGTTTTTACCATTTTTTTTCTGAAACCATTTTCAAGATCATAAAGTTTGATGAAAATGATTGGTTTGTGACTCATCTGCCCATGATATAACTGTCAAAAAGTAAATATTATACTAAATGATGGATAATATTGATCCTTCTAGTACGCCTTGAATTGAATCACATATTCCTGTCAAGGTATTTTACCTTATGTATTGATTTTTACACCATTCGTATTCGCGCATTCTGCGAATTCCCGCTTTCAATGATTCAAATTTTCAATGACAAATAAAGATTCTAATTGATTTTAGAAGCTATATAACTCAACAGTAGTCTGTAATAATAGTTGTTAATACAGTTGTTATTTATTATTTAAATAGTTTAAAAGATATATTTTGTCATATTGAACTGAGACCACTAAAATCCATTAACGAGACTTGGAAGGAAACGTTTTTCTTTCTCTTTTTGTAGCTTTACTGGTACACTTCGGTAATAACTAAAAATAACAAGTTACTTCAATTTCATGATTCTAGCATCAGGTTTTTATCTATTTGTCTTCTGAACATTTGAAGAAAATTGTTACAAAAATAAATGTTCATCCGAAATAATAGCAGCAAAGGAGAACAAAGAAGTTTTTACTTATGAAACAAAATTATACTTGAACTTCATAAAACTATCATATAACACTATAATTAATGAAAAGTTTTCTGTTGAAGGTATAGCGCTTCACTGAAAATCAATTTTCCGTTTTTCTTATAATTGTACATTCATTACTTGAGCTTTTATTTTTAGTTGAATTCAAACGCTAAAAGAAAATAAGCCTTACATAATTTTTGCTCTGAAGGAAGCGTTTCTACTGTCCCTTAATCTACAGCTTCTTTATAAAATAATCATGAATGAAATGAGAATGAATTTTCATGAAGCGAATGGTTGTTCTTTTCTTTCAGTTGAAATTATTAGTGTGAGCAAACATACGGATGTAAAAATGCGACTGTAATATTTTGCTACAAGGAGGACTAGTTTGTCAAAATGTATTTGATGTAAACATAGAGTCACAGGTTATGTCCATACTTTTGACGTATCTTTACAAAGTGTTTTGATAATATTATATTAAAAATACTGAAATCAAGATAAAACATTTAGAAATGATGCAATATACACACATTTTAAAGTAAGGTTTGTTTAAAACATGATCCGTCGACTTTTGTTACGGTATCTTTATCTGTGGTAAGAGACATAGTAGTTGAAGCAAGCAAACATAACACCATAGTTCACACAGGAAAATAAGATCAGCACCTTTCATATAATAACATATCATATCATCATTGTGTTACGTGTAATATTGTTGTTTCCAAGAATACTTCTTTTTCTTATAATGATACACACCTGTTTGCTTTCACTGACGTAAGACTTAAGTATTCAAGGACAGGCAACGACAAACAGGAGCATAAAGTTGTTGCTACACTCTACAAGAGACATCATCTTAAGGTAAAACACAGCATGCTCAATAAATGCATGACGGTGATTTGAAATTTACTGAGAAAAACAAACATGAAACCAGTTACTGATTAGTCGACGACTCCTTTTCGAGGATGAAACCGGTCAGAGAACGATCGATCACTTATAAATCTACAACAGACATTGATCCAGTTACTGGTAGGCCGACCACATTACAAGAATGAAACCAGTGAGAGGTTATAGAAAACATCCCAGGAAGTAAGTTTCTTATTCCAAGGCAAACATTAATTTCATTGAACCAAAACAAAAGCAAGAAATAAATAATTTAAACAAATACTTTAGAACAGAAATTGAACAACGTACATCATACCGATAATGGAAACAATGTTTAATCCAGAGATAAGCAACTAAACTATTCATAAACCAGATAATATATCAATAATGCAACCAGTTCTTGCTCAGAAAATTAAAAAAAAAAAGCTCTTCAGCAAAATAAATCACTTTAATGATTGAAACGTTCGTAAGACTGGAGGGAGAAAGTTAGAATTAAATACTCAGTAAATAAAACATTATAACAAGAACGTAAACAGTCATTGGACAAAAAATTATTAAATATGAATTAATGACTTTCCTTAAATGAAACACACCACAACAAATTAATATATATATATATATACAATGTATATATGCATACTAAAAATAAATTATATTTGCAGAGATGTGAAACTAATCACTGTAGCGAAAAATGTATAGCGAGAAAAATCAGCTAACAGGAAAATTAATCTATCTCGGTGTTGCAGTTGTTCAAACGACAGAAACTTTTATATTAAATTTAAAATTAATTTCGTATATAAAAAAAATCATAACAAAACTGGTACCAAGTATTCCCTATAACTATTCTAGTAATTTGAAGTTATCAAAGTAATATCTCAGATTATAATCCGTATAATTAAAAGAGTAACTTGTATGAATGTGTGGGAAGCCTTTTAAACTTCATTAAACTAAGCAGAAATTAAATTAGGAGTAGAAAAGTACGGACACCGTCACCGTATTTGTTTGGGTAGCTTTTTAAACTTCATTAAACTATCCACAAATGAAATTAGGAGTAAGGAAGTACGGACGACCTTACCATGTGCGTAAGGGAGGGGCGGATATAGATAGTACTTTGCATTACAAAGGGAAAGGTATTTGGAGAATGGATCTGTCATCCCTCAAATCCCCATCGCAGACAGCAGTGTGTATGTGTTAAGGTTTTGTGTGTGATTTTTTTCATTTGTTTATAAACACTTGCTGTCACCGTGTTGAGTTTTAATACTTGCCCCCCGATACCCATGTTTTGAAAGCGTCGCTAGATGTGGTGTCTCTTAAGAGATAAATAGATCGGTTTGTAATTTTTGATCAAATCATTGAACTTAAAGTGTCATTTCTACCAGAGTGTTTGGCGGGTATCAATGACATGTTGTGGAATAGGTTAACCTCGCAGTCTTTGAGACGCTCCGCAACGACCATTAGATTCGTTCAGAACTAAACGTACATTCCGTCATACGTGAGGAGTCAAGCAGGTCAGTTAACTGTTTTAATTACTTGAAATACACACTCAAAATTAGATTATAAAAGACACGCTGTTATTTTTCACCTTTTTTTTTTCTGCAATCATTTTCAAGATGCGTGTATGTATATATATATATATATACGCATCGTTTTAATTTGGCAACTCAGGGGGTAAGTTGATGACCTATTGATACTAAATTGAGTTATCCTTTTGAAAATATACGTTTCATTCTCTGAAAAATATATTATTCTTTATTGCTGGTTAGTGTTTTTCTGCAATATTGTTCATAGGATCAATTGTGTACTACGTACGTCACTGGAGACATTATCAAGCAGCTTTGGGAATATAGTAAGGCTCACGCATGTTTTCTTTAACTACATGTTAATATGCCTTAGGTGATCGTATCTATCTTTTATTAACATGCATGATGTCAAAGAGAACCTTACGTAAAGACGCCTTACCAATAACAAAGAATCTGTGCTTTTCCATTCTCGCACATTGCGCAACTGAGTCGTGATACATAGCGCCTATATCGCTCGTATCGCCAGGGCTATAAGCGCATGCGCTAACGGTATCGGCCTGGCTCTAACTAGCTAGAATTCAGTTGCTCCAGAGTTGGTCTCTTCGGCGATCGAAATATTTAGACAAAAAGTATCGGAAGGATGGCGTGAGGGCTGTGATGCCTGGAAGCCTCCATGATCTTCGAAGATTACGTATTTCCTTCCATTATCAAGGACAGGAATGCGACCTAACAAAAGAATTTTTCCACATCCGTCTTACAGTCTAGCCCACGTGGTTAGCCGAGTCATGAAAATGTTGATGTAAACAGATTCATTAAAACGACTCCAGGTACGTAGCGCATACTTTGTGATTAAGACGTACTGTACCCCGAATTCAGCTAGGGATGTAGTTCCCTTGTGCCAAAGTCATTCGCTATCTTTTTCACACATTGAAATGTTGAAATATGTATGTATTGTTTGTTCCTGAGCAGATTTATTAGCGAATCCTAAATCTAATTACGTAAGACATGTTGTTTAGTTTTTTTTCACTAACGCGAGAATGTTTATTCGTATAATTTCCGTATTAGTTTTGTGTTAACGACATTGGCTCTGATTCACAATGAGTATGTGTAAAACGCTCAGTGTTTAGACTTCAACTCATTTTCGTTGTGAAGTTTGTTTCTATATTTGATTATGATCATTTCCAAATATACCAAATAAAGTTGTGACAAAAATTGTTGCACAAAACTATATAGTCGTGACGTAAATCTACTGCCCTCCAAGAATCTTTTAACTCAAAAAAAAAATTTAACGCATCCTTGTAGACGTTAAACCAAGTTTTCGTTTTATTGGTGGATGATTTATGGATTTAGTAATGATCAATTTGTACTCCTCTGGTTCTCTTTGGACAAAGAAGGGTTAAGAACGATGTTATTGATCATTGATTCTAAGTATTATTGTATATTCAGCAGCGATATTGTAAGCTGGATGCCCTTTGTTAACTGTTTTTGTAATCCATACAATACTATTCTAAGTCTTTTAAGCCAGGGATTCCTAAACTTTCTCAGCGTAAGTTTCTTCCAGAATATTCCGCATTCTGATCGAGGTTCTTAATTCAATGAATCAATAAGCAATGAGTACCTTACTTTCATTATAAACAATATATTTAAAGAATGCTATTTTACAATTTATTGACTTAACTTTTTTCAGCTTTGCTTTTTAATATTTCACACGCGATTTTCTTTCATTTAATAATTTTATGCACTTGCTATGCCCCCCTTTACGCGTTCCCTAGCTCCCCAGAAGTCCGCAGCCCCTGATGGAGAACACCTGCTCTAAGCAACCGTCATTATTTAATAAACAACAAAACATTCACCCATTCACAACTTTTGATTTTCGTAAAATAATATATTTACCGTTTATAAATGCGCTGTTTTTTATTAATAATGAGGCTGTAAAATTCATGGTCGCCTTATAATCTGAACCGACCACAGGCCCCTCCCCCATAGTCTAGCCTGTCGAATTCCTGAATATCTACGTATGCGCGCCAGATGTTCACTCAAAGTCATCGCTAATTCTTGCAGCTAATCCACCTGCACGCCGTTTAGTTATAGTACTGATTTTACGGACCTAAAAATAGGACGCTATGACACTCAATTTTTTGTTCTTTCCCATGGTTTCTGAAAATGGGGGTCGCCTTATAATCGGGTCAATAGGTACATAAATATGTATTAGAACATTTACCAAAGGTTTTGTGTTGGGCCATAAACCTGTACCAAATTATGAAGTACAGGTTTCAGTACATTGTATTAAAAAGATTCTGAATATGAAAATCAGTGAGTAACGTAGCAAACATAGTAGATATCAAGTCGCAGTAGAACGAATTACATTGGACATATTTTTGGAGTTTCGTATGTAGGCAGTGTCATGACATCCAAATTCATCGCTTTTGATAGGGGATGTAACAGCTCTTTTAGACGCAAAATATTCATACACTCAGTTCATAAAGATGTGTTCACATTAGAGATTTAGAATCTACAAGACATTGGAAAACAAAGGAATATAAATCAACTTGGAGAATTAGGACCTTCCAGAAAGAAACCTGCAACAGTCCATGCTCCAGCTAAGATAAGCAAAGTCTGGCGTCTTGTAGCATGAAGATCAGTGGCCAAAGTCGTCCACGGTTCTCAGGCAACAGTACACAACATGATCGAGAATGATATTCATCTGTAAAAGTGACAGAAGTCACGTGTATGTAAATTACTTCTACAACATATGCGTTCAACCATCGTTTACCCGAAACAGAGGGAGAATGAAACAGGCGTTTATGCTTTTTCATACAAAACATACCGTTCTAGTAGTCGGATGCATCGCCCATAGATTTTTATGTGATCGAACTGTTAAAACGGACACTGAAAAACTGCCATTTTCGTACACAAGATGTATTATAGAAAGCACGTGATGAGGAATGGTGTTTTTGAACATGATAATCTTACGGCGGAGCCTTTTGCAATAGATGTCGCAAAGTTATTATCAGCTCCAGACTTATTAAAACATGTTGTCAACCGGTGTTATGAGAACAGAGCCTAGTGATTACATCATATTAATACGTAGTATGTCGTACAGGATATCATGCGTACAATTATTCGTTATTTGTCCTGTAAACATGGTCGCTGTTTGATAATCACGGTTTTTAGTTAGGCAGTTCATGTATAAGTAAAGGGCTGGACGTAGTTAGCGTGCCTGACTGTGGATCCGATAGTCCATATTTCGCGTCTATCCGAACTTTAGGCCGTGGACGTGTTATAAGAGTGACGGTCAAATGTACTTAATTATGGTAGCCCAAGAATTTACGGCTGTTACTTTAACTAGCTGCTTTTTCTCTAGTGTATCAGCTCAAAATTGGGGTCAGCAAGCGCAGATAGCCCTTGTGTAGCTTAGCCCGAATACCTGAACAAAAACTTACAATAAATAATCATAAATATGCTTTGAAGTTTGGTAATCGCTTTACTCTGTTACGAATTCATCTAACTATTATTCAGTTTCTTCTGATAGGCAGTTGTTGTTGTTTTTTCTTTTACATTTTCTAGTGACATTTCTATTTTTTTGGCAGCCACGTTATTCAGTTGGGCAGTTCTTTGTTTGACATTCTTTTGTTACGTAATTCATTGTTTATATATTATATATTCAGGGTCTACGGAAGAGTTTAGAAAACACAATTTATGCACTTTATGTACTATTAAGCTTATATATGTATTTTGTCTTATGACGAAAATATACCACGGCTATCTGTTGCCGTCCCTAGTTTTGAGTAACTGGCCAGAGAGAAGACAGTCATTCAGCAGCCCCTGCCACGTACCGTTCACGCTAACGGATTGACTGTCACTCTTATAACGCACCACCCACAGATTAAAAAGCGAGGAATATTTAGTCATATCGCACGGATTTGTACCACAGAGCAAACCTGCGTCCGATTAGTAAGTTAGTTCCTAATTATCATTAGTTTTTGCGCTTAGTAGTTGAAGATAACTTATAAAAGGTGTACTTAAAGATGGCGCCATATATCAAAAACACGGAAAATAAAACTAAATAAAACATTTATAATTTTCCTTATTTATTTAAATGTGACTGATATCGTTTACGTATTCTTGTTTAACATTATTTAAGTTTTTGAAATGTTTCTAAAAACAGTTTTGTATAATTTGAAAATAACAAGACACAGAGAGAAATATGTTGTTGTATTTTTCACTTTAGCAGATGCAAAGTTGTGTTAAGTAGACAAGCATTATAAGATCAGATACAAAACGCGAATTCACGATTTGACGTGTTGACGTTATTATGTACAGATATGTAGATAGAAATTACATGACATAAGACGCGGAATCATAAGTTAAAGTATTGACGCAATACTTACAAATTACTGTCTTGAAAGACACTGCAGTATCAGACATACAACATGGAGTGGTTAGCTACTTTGAAGTTAATACCCACTAGTATTAACAGAGATGTCTGTAGAATAATACGTGAGAAATAAATCGCCAGAAGATATGTTTGAGTTAATATATAGAAATTATTATAGGATCACACAGAATCACCAATTCATATACTGAAGTTAATACGTACATATTCCTGTATATACAGACACTGCGGGATCAGGCGCAAGGCACGTAATCAATATCTTCAAATTACTGCGTAGACAGACACTATAGGATCAAACATAAAACACGAAATCCCCACTTGATAGTTGATATCCGCAGATTATTGTATATAAAGACGCTGCAGGATCAGACACAAGACATGGAATCACAAGTTTATATCCTGACGTCATTATCTACAAATTACTACATCGTCGAGCACTGAAGTTTCAGACATGTTAAAGTTAAAATCTACAGATTACTCTATAGACAGACAGTGCATAATCTGACATTAGATACAAAATGTCCAATATATTTGATGATATTAACTTCTACAGATTGTTTTACATACAAATAGTATAGGATCTGATAGAGGACATGGAAGTGAGAGTAAGTGTTTATACAATTCCATTTCTATTTTTATTCATAATGACACTTTATATATAACTATATGTAGTTTTCTACACGCACAGTTGTTTGTAGGTTAGTTTAGATAGACTGGCGTATACCAGTTTCAGATCTCTCTGTTTTAGAATCGACAAACAAACAATAAATTTGCATCAAAGAAATTAAACACCAATCAGATTATTGGAGATGTATAAACATGTCTTGGATTCAAGTCATTTCGTATTGTTTATCAAGTTTCCGTAACTTTCAGTACATTTTTGTAGTTTTGTATGTTTGAAGTTAAATACAAAGCTACACAATTGGCTAACTGTGCTCTGCCCACCACGGGTATCTAAATCCGGTTTCTAGCGTTCTAAGTCCGCAGACATACCGCTGTGCCACTGGAGGGGGGGGGGGGCTTGGACGTTTGGATTTATATTCAAGACATCTCTCTTTACATAAAAATAAATTCATGTTCGTGCAACAGTTGTGTTTCGATAAACATAAATATGTGTGCAGATTTCAGACATGTAAGTATTGCACACGTTACGGAATATTTTACTACCACATCCTAACGAAAATCACTTTCAATTTCGAAAAGCAACTAAACAAACGCAAAACATCTGAGATATTTGTACTAAAACAAAAGTTGATTAACTGAATAAGAACGTAACTTCGCTAATATATTGCTATCTGTTACATTTGGTATTAAACTTTAAATATGCCCTGATAATCAAAGTGCATAAAATATTTTTCAGCCCATGCCTGATCCTTTAAATATCTATAATTTGTTAAACAATGTACATAAAGTATATATATCGTTATTAGT